GGCAATACGTATGTGGTGGTCTTTGCCCTCGAATGAATGGCTGGAGCCACATTGTTCTCTTTTAAACAAAGCACAGCTTTTTATCTCTGCAAGAACTGGCCAAAATTCTCGTTAGGCTTTTGAAAAAGAATATATTCTTAGGAAGGATGTGAAGAGGACACAAGGGGCTGCAGGCAGAGAGCATCCAATGAGTGGAATTCTGCTCACAGGAACTGGCAATCCACCCATTGTGTCTGAGTTGACGCCAGATCACAGTGGCGTAGCGTGGGTTGTCAGCACCCGGGGCAAGGCAAGTAATTTGCGCCCCCTAACCCGTGGATTTGCGCCCCCTAACCCGTGGATTTGCGCCCCCTAACCCGTGGATTTGCGCCCCCTAACCTGTGGATTTGCCCTAACCCCAGATGTTGCGCCCGGTGCGGCCGGCCCCCCCTGCACCCCCCACGCTACGCCACTGCCAGATCATACAGAAGCTCTGTCTAGAGAGTTTCATTTTGTGTGGCTGTTTCATACATGAAAGACATAAACCGGTGACCAGAGCAATCCAACTCACCCATCCCAACTCACACACACACTGGGCTGGGGGGTTGTACAAAGGGCAGTGTTCCCTTTGCTCAGTTCTCCCCCCTCATCTGGCAACCAAGAGCCACAGAATGTAAGGGCAGAAGGAACGCTGGTGGGTTCTCTGCCAGCATTGGCCAGCAAAAATGCCCCCAAACAGGGCATTGCAATAGGGAAGAGGTGGGGCTGAACTGGCATTGGGCCTGATCTGAGCAGCATCACACAGATGCACTGGGCCCAGTCTGGACTCAAATCACTGCACCAGCCTGGATCAGACCCAATCATCCTGTCCACTATCTTCCATCACAGCTCCCATAAGCAGCTGGGCTGTGTATGCAGTAGTGACTCTTCCACTCCACAAAACCCTACCAGGGTGGGTGTGGATTGCACCCTGATTAATTAACTAGGAAAATGTATCCCTAGGAATTAATTAACTAGGAAAATGTAACATGTGTGTGTGTGTGTGTGTGTTTTATATACCAGCCTTCATCCAAAGATCACATGGCAGTTTACATCATAAAAATACAAAATCAAAACACAAATAAACATCATAAAACCATAGCAAAACAAACCAATAACTCCCTCTTCTGCAGACCCATGTTAATCAGCCCTAGTTGAAGAGAAATGTTTTCACCTGGCACCTAAAGATATGCAATAGAGGTGCCAGGCGAGCCTACTTTTTAATTTAATATTTAAAATACCGCATTATGCACATTCAGCTTGATAGAATCTCTCACTAGGAGTTTCTCATCCGGCTGCCCGGACTCCAATGGTCCACTTGCCCCTTTGCCCAATGATGTTGCAGGCACAGAGTAATGAGTAGGTATGATGTGCATTTGCCCTCATAGTAACACTGGTGGGGAGAATAAAGCGCTATAATCCTGAAAGCTGCCATCTCCAGTTGCCCCATTCAGATGTAGGGCACTGCTCCAGTATTAAATGGTTAAGAAGTTAGCAGTCAATGGCTTTTGAAGAAGACATTACAATATGACCCAGTTCATTATGGGGGTGGGGAAAAATACTCTAGTTTGCAGTGCAGTGATCCCCACCGTTCAAGGTTTGGAAGTGAGATGTTGAGCCTGTTTATTCCAAATGGCCCTGAGGACAGCTTAGATTTGTTTTCCCCCTAATTGTTATTATATTAATTTTAAGATGTGTTTGATCAGAGCAATGCTACCAGCAAACTGAAATTATGTGTAAATTATACATCCTCCACTAAGACAAGATTGACAGCGGTGCGGATATGCCTATTTAATGGCAAGGTGCCAGCTGCCGATGCTTCGGAATAAAGATTAAGATTTAGCACATATCTAGCACTGCGACCTCAGTAAGACATGGCTGCTGCGTCAGCAGGGCCAGCCCAACCATTGGGCAGAGTGAAGCAGCCAATTCAGGGACAGGATCAGGAATGCCAAAAGACTTTCCTGAGCCCAGAACACTGTATGTGGATTGAGCATTCTGCTAGCCTGCTTCTGGCATTGGCTCCCAGTACGTTTCCGAGCACAATTCAAGGTGTTGGTGCTGACCTTTAAAGCCCTAAACGGCCTCGGTCCAGTATACCTGAAGGAGCGTCTCCACCCCCATTGTTCAGCCCGGACACTGAGGTCCAGCGCCGAGGGCCTTCTGGCGGTTCCCTCATTGCGAGAAGTGAGGTTACAGGGAACCAGACAGAGGGCCTTCTCGGTAGTGGCACCTGCCCTGTGGAACTCCCTCCCTTCAGATGTGAAGGAAATAAGCAGCTATCTTCTCTTTAAAAGACATCTGAAGGCAGCCCTGTTTAGGGAAATTTTTAATATTTAATGGTGTATTGTTTTTAACACTCGATTGGAAGCCGCCCAGAGTGGCTGGGGAAACTCAGCCAGATGGGCGGGGTATAAATAATAAATTATTATTATTATTATTATTGCAGCTGGGGAAGATGAAGGCGTCCAGTTGCGCTGCTGCAGATGCATCATGATGCTCCTCACAGTGGTCACTGCTGTGGATGCACAACATGACTTTCTGTCTCCAGGTGCTGCAGTTGCCTGTAAGGGATTCCCGCCATGCAATCTATTGACAAGTGTTGCTGCTTACCGTATGTTTCGCTCCATAAGACGCTCTTTTTTCCTCCTAAAAAGTAAGGGGAAATGTCTGTGCGTCTTATGGAGTGAATGCTGCGCAAAGGAGGGACAGATGGGAGCCATAGCTCTCGTCCATCCCTCCTCCACAGCTCACTTTAAATCAGCAAAGCGGGACAGGAGCTGCTTACACGGGTGTAAAGCAAGCACAGCGGGAGCTGTGTAATCCCTCTGCCCCCGCGCTCAGCCACACCATTGGGATGGGTGCGCATGCGCCACCTCCTTGGGACGACGCTTGCATGGGCGACGTCCCACGTCGCCTGTGGTGACATGCCGTCACGTAAGACCCTTCCTCTGCCACTGGTCTTGCCGGGACAGTAGTGCCTTCCTTTGCAGAAGTGTGAAATTTGAAGGGCAGCTGTGCTTTGCTCCTTGTGTTGTGTACGAAGGTGTGAATTAGGTAGGTTTGACTTTAAAATACAAATATAAAAAATAAAAAATAATTAAAAAATTCTGCAATGGCTTTATTAAAATAATTGTGTAGGGCCAAACCATACAGTCCTTAGAGCTAAGGGACTTAATGTGGGAAGCTCATATATTTCCATTGCCTGCTCCCCTTACTAGGGGATAAAGTCTCTCTTCATTTGTTAATGACAGTGATGATGGTTCTTAATGCCACTGTTGACTTTACATGGGTGAAATATTATTCTGATATACCAGTAGTTTATTAAATAGTTTAGTACAACATTTGATTCAGAATATTTTTTTTCTTGTTTTCCTCCTCTAAAAACTAGGTGCATCTTATGGAGTGAAAAATATGGTAAATACATTTATTAACCAAGCCTACCTTGCAGGTATATAAAAGGGGAGGGAAACAAATGCAACCTTGGGAAAGCAAGTTACAGATATGCGGAAACATAATAATTGTAGAGTTGGGAGGGACCACAAGAGTCATCTAGTCCAACCCACCCCAATGCATGAATCTTTTGCCCAACATGGGATTAGAACCCACAACCCTGAGATGAAGAGTTTCATGCTCTACCAACTGAGCTATATGCCACACAGCACATAGCTGGCATCGCTCCCATAGGAGGCAGTGCTGGCCACCAGGTTGGATGGCTTTAAAAGAGAATTAGGACAAATCCATGGTCGGAGGCAGTCTGCTTCTAAATACTAGTTGCTTGAAACCAGAGTAGAGGAAGGTGCTATAGCACTTAGGTCCTGCATGCAGACTTCTTGTAGGCTTCTAGTTGGCTACTGTGAGAATGTGACAGCTAGACTAGTGACTGGGAGTGGCCGCCAGGACCACATTACACCCGTCCTGAAGACCTACATTGGCTCCCAGTACATTTCTGAGCACAATTCAAAGTGTTGGCGCTGACCCTTAAAGCCCTAAATGGCCTCGGTCCAGTATACCTGAAGGAGCATCTCCACCCCCATCGTTCTGCCCGGACACTGAGGTTCAGCACCGAGGGCCTTCTGGCGGTTCCCTCACTGCGAAAGTGCCAAGTTATAGGGAACCAGGCAGAGGGCCTTCTTGGTAGTGGATCCTGCCCTGTGGAATACCCTCCCATCAGATGTGAAGGAAATAAACAACTATTTTATAAACAACCTCTAGGGAGGTTTTAAATGTTTGATTTTTATCGTATTTTTAATATTCTGCTGGGAGCCGCCCAGAGTGGCTGGGGAAATCCAGCCAGGTGGGTGGGGTAGAAATATATTATTATTATTATTATTATTATTATTATTATTATTATTATTACTACTACTACTACTACTACTACTACTACTACTACTACTACACTGGCCTGATCCAGCAGGTCTCTTCTTATGTTATTGTGTAATGTCATTCACAGATCATGTAAGGAAAGCCAGAAAAATTGCCTTCTTGCTATAACTGCAATGTTTTGTAGTCAATTGGCACTAAGGAGCTGCCCACCCTATTCCTGTGACTGCAATTTGTGCAATTCACTGTTTTTAATTCTGAATTTTAAATTGCTGTAACCCACCCTTGGGCCTTGTAGTGAAGGGCAGGCAATAAATGTGATGACAACAGCAACAATTTTCACAGTTGGGACGACTCCTTTTGGATCTGTAAGAACCATGAAAATGGGAGCTGATGTCATTCATGTATCACTGGCTCATGTCGTACATTTTTCCACACGGGCCAGGGAATAAGCACATTGCTAAGTACTTACAAAACACGAACCCTGATAGCTGTCATTCATCCTCATCAAAATGTTATGAATTCTATTCAGGGATATCTTTAGATCAGTTGGCATGGCCGGTTTTGTCTCCATGAAATGTTCACGAGATGTTCCAGGAGACATGCCACATAACCTCCATTAATATCGTCAATGCTTGTTGTTTTTCAGACATGTTGCAAGCAAGGAATGACCAACTCTGTGAAAGGAAAAGCACAGTTCAAATGAAACATTTCTTGTGTGAATGTGCCTTCACATAGCACTGCAGAGCAGAGACAGAACAACCTCGTGAACTTCTCTTTACTCTCAGAGATTGTTCACTCTAGGGTAATACCACACATATTTGCTTCCGCTCGAAATTATAACAAATGTAACCATTATAAGCAACTTACCTTGCTTGCTTGTATAAAATGTGACCTGTATTTCTAGAGCTATAGATGTCTCACTGTTCCCTTGAATTCTTTGCCAACAGCTCCATCTTCAGGCTTCACTCAGCAAATGCTATGTCTATTTTTAAATTGCCAAATGCTCAGGAAAGAGTTTTGAAGTGTTTTTGGTTTTTCTCCTCAATTCTGCAGACTCTTAAACATTTTTAATGGGGTGGGGCATCTAGACAATGCTGAATTATGCTTAAGCTAAAAATACATGCAGATTAAATGATGAAAGGGAGATTACTCTCCAGTTTGGCCTCTAGGTTGGACTATGGGACTATTGTCACACACTTTTTAACAAATCAAAGTAAATATATGACTACAAGTTTAATTTGGTATCCTGTTGCCTTGGGACATGTGTCAAAGAAAATACTGTGTGTTGAATCTAACTGGTGACCTTCAATTCATGGAAGAAGTTGAGAGATCCACTTGGTCCAATTCTTGCCCATTTGCTCCCCCTGAAGCCCCTTGTGCCAGGGAGAAATTCGATTCAGTTTGCACATGAAGGTGCTCTACTTAATTTACAGTTTCTGAAACAAAAGATGAACCAAAACACAGTCATCCTTTCAAATTTGCAACTTCCCTAATTTTTCCCTAGTTTTCCAGCCAAGCAATGTGTACAAAAATGCATATATGAATGAAAAACATCATACAAAAATGTGTCTACTGGGGGAAATTGCACACAAAGCTGTGTATATTAGGAGAAATGCACGCTAAAAAGTTGACAGAATTTCATCAGGTCCTTAAAAAAAATTGCAAACTGTGTGGAAAACAGAACTTATGAGTAGAAAAATGAGAAACCAGAATTGGCAGATCTTTCCATCCCTATGTTCCACCCTCTCCTGTAGAGACCTGCAGCTTTCTGCAGATGGATTTTAAGTGTGCAATGGGCTTCAGGAAGAAGGAGAATTGGTCAGAAATCCCCTTCCATCCTTGGCCATTACAGATGCCTCTGCTGAATCAAAACCCCTTCCCAGGAGGGCAAGGGCACCAACTGGATTCCACCCTAAGGAAATCTGTTACGAAAACCGAGGTCCACTTCCAGCAGAAACCAGTGGATCCAGGCAATGGTCTACTGCTCTTTCCTAGGTAACGAGATACAGATAGGTAGCCGTGTTGGTCTGCCATAGTCAAAACAAAAAAATTCCTTCCAGTAGCACCTTAAAGACCAACTAAGTTAGTTCTTGGTATGAGCTTTCGTGTGCATGCACACTTCTTCAGGTATCTGAAGAAGTGTGCATGCACACGAAAGCTCATACCAAGAACTAACTTAGTTGGTCTTTAAGGTGCTACTGGAAGGAATTTTTTTTGTTTTGACTAGGTAACGAGAGTGAGAGAAGGGTTCAAAACCACATAGAAGGCTGAGCTGAAAATCAAATCCTGCTATCATTCACATTTCAAAATCTTCTTCACTTTGAAGTTCTTTGCACATAAACAGAGCTTTTCCTCCCATTGTTTGTCGGGATATCGGAAGCATTAGGAAGCTTTTATTTTGCCCTGTTGCTTTAAAGTAGACTTTGAAGCGATTACCATGTGTTTTCAGAATGACAGTTAACACCAGCTTCCCTCAAAGAGATATCGCAGGAAAAAGTGAGATTACAACTCGACTATAATGCAAAATGTTTCTAGAGAACAGCTAAGTTTGTGGCTTGCTATCCATTGTTTCTCAAGCCATGTTTTCCTAACGTGCTTTATCAGTGGCTAGAATGGGGAGCTTTGCCAACTGACCACCAATCTGGTCCTTCAAGGGTTTTGATGGTAGCCCAAAACCACACATTGTTCTGGTGGGGCCCTGAGATTTGGGCTCCTCTTTCTCTTTAGGTGCTGGCTCTCTCTTCTTCTTTTTTCCCTATTGCCCTTGATTTTGAAAAGAAATGCTGGCACAAAAGAGACCAAAGACACATATGGTGCTGGCCTAGGCAATAATGGCAACGGACCCATCAGACAATGCTTCCAATCCCATGGCCACTGACCACCCCATCTGCACAGTTGCAGCAAACTACTGCTAGCACAACATCTGCCCTTCCGTTATTACATGCTCAACTTAACATATTCCAGAATCACCATTCAGTCTGTAGCTGGCGGGGCGGTGGTTGGGGGGGGGGGTGTTGCGTACCAGCGAGGCCTAGACAGACATGCCGCAGCAGCCTCTCTGGGGATTTAACTGGAGTCGGATTTGCCATAGTCTATTAAGTACACGTTCCTTCGGTACATGTGCGACTAATCTACTTTTAATTGAACTCCATTGTTTCCTTGTGTTTAGTAAACAAATGTGCATAGGTGCAGATGCTGCTGCTTGTTTACTGCACAAACAGAATGCAGCTTGCGAGAGCTTTCGGGAGGCTGTGCTGGCAGGGAATGGAAAAACACAGAATGTTTAATGCACAGGCATATTCTTTTCTTTACACTTTTTTGTTTTTTTAAAAAAAACTTTTTTCCTGGACATTTTGCTGCCCAGCTGTTTATTGCATGCAATTTTAACAGCTGAGCACAGGCGTATTGGAAGATCTTGTTCCAAACCCAGAACTAGCTGTGCCAAAATGTCTTTTCCTTTGCGCTGAGCAGCAAGCTTTCGCAGACACATTTATTGGCGTTATTCTGCCTTGCAAGCTGAGATTTATCCCTCCCCTCCCCTCTCTTCTGCATATCCTTAAAGCAAGTAGCTGACCATACTTAATTTTATTTCTGCCATTTTTATCAACACCCGAATAACATTACCCAATGCAAACCTAATCAATAGCATGCTTCCTTGTTTTATTTCACTGCTTTTTCCTATAGCATATCCTTACAGCCACTAAAAGGTATTTTCTTCTCTATCCAGGTGCTGCAAAGAGCTGGAGGAAATGAGCTTTGTTAAGCTCACAATCGGGTGTTATTTTTTACTTTTGTTGGACATGTACAATCAGATACTCTGCAGTTTTACACAGAAGCAAGTCCACTTGACCTCTTGATTTCTACAGAATTAAAAGGTAAAGGGACCCCTGATAATTAGGTCCAGTCGTGGCCGACTCTGGGGTTGCGGCACTCATCTCACTTTATTGGCCGAGGGAGCCGGCGTACAGCTTCCGGGTCATGTGGCCAGCATGACTAAGCCTCTTCTGGCAAACCAGAGCAGCCATTTACCTTCCTGCCGGAGTGGTACCTATTTATCTACTTGCACTTTGACGTGCTTTCGAACTGCTAGGTTGGCAGGAGCAGGGACCAAGCAAAGGGAGCTCACCCCGTCGCGGGGATTCGAACTGCCGACCTTCTGATCGGCAAGTCCTAGGCTCTGTGGTTTAACCCACAGCACCACCTGCATCCTTCTACAGTATTAGCCCCTACTAAGTGTGCATAAAGCTGCAATTTTCAGGACTTTTCAGAAAACCTACCAATTCAGCCTTGTAACTTAACAACCTACTTGGTCACTAGTGGTGACCAGGAATTCCGTACATGTGAGTGTGCAGGCTGAAGGAAGAGAGTCAGATTGTTCCATTCCTCCTCTGTCAACTTGTTTGGCTTCAGTGTTAGTAATGGAAGCAAGTAAGTCTTTCTCTACAACCAACATGGAAATGGAGTAGGCTGGTGGAAAGAGGTCATCCTCTACCCGTCTATCTACTTGGTAGAAGGCTTTTTAAATCTCTTTTTTACTAATCTAATATCCTGTGTTTCTATGCTGTCTGAAGAGGGGTGGAGGCTTTCCTCCTGACAGCCAGCATGGAAACACAGGCTCATAGCCTCTTTGAAGGGCAGTAACTTTTGTGGGCTTCTTTACAAGGCTGTACTAGTAAGCACAAAAACTCTAGTCCCCATGCCCAAACATCATCTCTCCACTCAGCTCTGTGAGTTGGAGGCTGAATCTCTGCACTACAGTATTCCCCATGTTCATAAATCTGATCTTCTTACTACAGTAGTTCAGCCTCCAATCCATGGAAGGCTAGGAAGTCAAGCAATCAGAGCAGATGGGGCAGGGCAACAGTCTTTACAATATATTCCAAAAGACAATAACCGAACTCCCACCCACCAACACTTTCCCCCTTCTCTTTCTATGTGATAGAGGAAAGTCCACACACCATTAGGTCAATGGCAAAATTATCAGTGACCAATCAATGACCAGTTGTTCCGTGTGAGCCCAAGACTTCCTTTCATAGCGGCAATGAGTAGCATGCTAAACTCCATAGGACATCCTCTACAAGATGTCTGAAGATGGATGGTCCTGCAGGCACATGTCTCAGTTCTGCTGCTTTTGGGATAAGTAGCTTTTGGCAGGACACCTCCTGGGAACTATTTGAAAGTTACTCATAGGCAATTAATTGCAAAGTTATGGTTCTGGTGTTCTTCTTTGCCGTACACTTTCCCTTGCTGGATTGTGTCTTGGTCCCAGTAAGAACTCCCAGTATGTCACAGTTGTTCAGATTCAAGTTCCTTGAGACAATTTTCAGGCTCATGGGCACATTTGGATTTTTGAGCGAGTGTTGTGGGTGCCACCCATTGTGATCTTCCCCCCTTCCTCTGTTGCTTCTCTGACTTATTCCAGAGAGAAAGAGAAGAGACAGAGACAGAGACAGAGACAGAGACAGAGACAGAGACAGACAGAGACAGAGACAGACAGACAGACAGACAGACAGACAGACAGAGTAGGCACACATACTTAGTTTTTCAGTGGATCGGGTTAAAGTCACGTCCAGTAGAATTAATTTGAGCTTTGAAAAGCCCATAGAACTGAAAGAGGGAGTAGACTCAGCTATACAGCTGCAAATAAAATGTTTTACGTGTGTTTTAAGTGCAATATACGATGTGACACTAGATGGTGATGGTGAGCCTTATGGAAAATCCAATGTATTTTTTAAAAAAACGCTTTTAAAAAAAGCATTTTCGAAACAGTTTTTATATGTGTGTAGATTCCACCTAGGAAAGAGCATCACTCAACTTCTGACTTCAGCTCTGTGTACTTTTCAAGGGAGAAAAAGGCAACCCCCTCAACACCCTTGTGTTCAAAGGGCTAGTGAGCAGGGTCACTGATAAACTTTGGGGACTCCACAGGGAAGACCTCATTGGGTCCACATCCACAACATTGTCGATCCCTACTCTAGTTCTCCTTCTACAGCATATCCCACTTGAGTGGTCCCAGGCAATGGGAAAACAACACGAGCTGTTTTGCTGGGAATATTTTAGGATATTTCCCAGTGTTTTCAACAGGCAAAAGTAGATCTAACTTTCAGGCAATTTAGACTTCACATTTTGGGGGGCGTGGGGGAGCGAGACTGCTACATCCTTTAATCAGAATGCTGTCCTTCATCTTAGCAAGATCTCAAAGTGACATCTAGTGGAATACCTAGTGTCAGTGGGGAAATTTAATTAAACTGCAGTCCCTTTATACCAGCACAAATATTGTGAAGGAAAACAACTCCTCTGACATTTTGCAAATAGGTTCAGTAGAATCTGCTGTGTTTACTCTGACTGACATTTGTTTTTCAGTCAATTATCCTTCAGTCCTTTCTTTTCCCTCCATAATTTATCACTAGCAGCTTTGCCATAATAATAAATATAAAGTTGTTTCCCTTTTTTGTTGTCTTCTTGTTTTGGGAGCAAATGTGGCAGATCTGTTACCCTGAAAACCTCAAAGGCTTGTGATTTTGTGATAGCTTTTGATTGTTTTCAGGATTTAGGGCCATGAGATTGGACAAGCCCTAACCTTAAATACAAGAGAAAATTAATTTGGAGCTTCAGGGAGACAGGGAAGGATTGCTTTATACCCAGAGTCAGACTCCAAGATTAAGTTAGCCAAGTCTGAGTCAAAATCCACAACTACCATATTGAGAGACTATGGTACTCACGCTGACCATCTCAATTCTGATTTCTTCTTTTCTGAAACTTAAAAGAGTTGGATGAAATAAGAGCCACAATCATGTATACAGCCATGTATAAAAGGTAAAGGGACCCCTGACCATTAGGTCCAGTCGCGGACAACTCTGGGGTTGTAGCGCTCATCTCACTTTATTGGCTGAGGGTACAGCTTCTGGGTCATGTGGCCAGCATGACTAAGCCGCTTCTGGTGAACCAGAGCAGAGCACGGAAACGCCGTTTACCCTCCCACCGGAGCGGTACCTATTTATCTACTTGCATGCAACTTGTGCAATTGCAGCTTTGTGCGCTAGGCGGTCGCTCAGGTGACATCATGCAAATTAAATGTGCACAAGGCATTAAAAAGTTCTCTCACCGTGGAAAGAGCTTTTAAGCTCTCCGCCTTGCTTAACAGGCTCTGAGATGCTCCTGCAAGATTGGGGTTGGGGGTGTCAAGTCCTGCTTGGCACATTGGCTTCAAAAAGGTAGATACAGATGTGCTGGGGTGGTTCTCAGGTTGTTAGGTTGATTTTGGCATTGCAAATAACCCCTGTGCAAGTTGTGAGTCATTTGTATGTTGATAATATGTCTCAGCTAAGTGGGGGGGGGTGGAGGCTGGTTAATACTTGGATAGTACACCTGGGTATACAGAATACTGTAAGTTTCCTATTTTCATAACTCAGCGGCAGATAGTGACGTCAGAGAATTTCAGTGGAAATTGCCAATGTTGGCTTATTCATCCCATGCTGATACAGTATTTTGTATTTTCTTGCCAAGAGAAGCATAGTATAAAAATTGCAGATCTGTGTGAAATTCTGCTATCAGCCAACTACCCTGTTTGTGCTAATAGTTGTTGTTGTTGTTGTTTATTAATTAATTAATTACCTGATATGTAGGCAAAACCTACTTCACAGGCAAATACTATTTATTTACCAACCGTTGTTTTACATTCGGTAGTGGAAAAAGCATGGAACCTATTAGGTTGCACATTTTGGTTTTTTTAAAAAAATCTGTTTCACCTGGAAAACCCATCAGCAGTTTCTTTACATAGTTTTGTTTTGTTCCCTATAAAATATAGTTGTCAACATCTGGAATTTTAGAAGTGGGGGGTGGGGATGAAATCACCACATAAACGGGAGGTCATTAGTCATTTGTGGCCATTTTCTTCCTTTTTCCAGCTGCACATAATATATTTTAAGTGTATGTTACATTTATAAAACAACCACAATAATTAACATATAACTTTGAAAAGTACTCAGAATTAAATAAAGCCATGTGCATCTCAGGTCTTAACACACTGATTTTGATCTGCAGAACTTCTTATTCCCCTACTGAGTAGATGCCTGTCAGCAAGGAGGAAGGTTCAAGATGGCTCCATACTGTGAACAACTTGATAATTAGCATGAAAACATGAATTCTTGGATCAAGTGCCATTGTTTATTTATCTGTTATATGTATATCCCATCCTTCCTCCCAAAGGAGTCCAGTGTGGCAAACACTAAAGTGATAAAAAAACACAATGCAAAATAAAATTAAAACATATAAAATCCTTCTTAACAACCAAAAACTCGTAAAACAGTCCCATATTCTCACAGCTGATCAAAGTTGCCATGAGCAGTATCTTTGAGTCATCACATGCCTGGCGAAAGTTTTTTAATTCCTCCTGGAAGTTAATAGCAAGTGAGGTAGCTGCACCTCACCAGGGAGGGCATTCCACAAATCAGGAACTACCACCAAGAAGTCCCTGTTGTGGGTCAATGTCAACCATTGTATGAGTTTTAATTTGTTTCAGTCTATTCTACAGTGCTTTTAACTTTCTGTATATCTGAGATTCTGGCTGTAATTTTTTTAATCATGATTTCATTGTTTTATCCTAGCGCTCCAAGAGAGCAGGCTGGGGCCCAGAGGAAGACTGTGCGACAGAGGAGACCACAGAAGAGAAGATATTACTTCATATATATATATATTAACTTTTTTCCCCTCTTTTTTTTTTAAAAAAAAGTGTCCCTGGATTCTTTGGGAAAAATCTGGTAACCTTACTGTATGGCGCAAGATCTATCTGTACCTGTGGGAATCTAATGTGCTGAGACTCATCTCTGATGATACCCTGAGGTGATGCCATGTCAGCCTGCTAGTGACTGACAAGCTTCAGCGCAGCCCCACCTACCGTCATGTGGGGCTAACGGAATGATTTACACCCAGGAAATATCAGGAGGTTGTCTGAGTATTTGCTCAATTGAATCAGCAGGGTTTGCCAAACATGATCCATGAATAACGCAGCTCCTTTGAGCAAAAAATGGAAGAAGAAAAAACACTCCCTGAGCTTTCCTGAACATCACCCTGTGAGCTGTGCTTGACTGGGAAGAAAATTAAACTTTTTTTTTTTTTTTGTCCTGGTAGGGAACTCCTCTCAACCTGCCATCCAACACTACAGAAGGAAAGACATTTAGTCTGGCTTTGGTGAAAAGCCTTCAATAGTTTGGTACTGTCAGGTTTTTAATGAAAGATACCTTGCTGGTACCTTTCCCGGGAAAATCAGAGGCTCACTATGTCAGGTTCCTATTGGAAGACCCAGACAAATGCTAGAACATTAGCAGTGGCAGAGTTTTTATCAGTGGTTGCAAGAACCAATGATCCCTATATTCTGAACAAAATGCTTGTTTAACCTGGAGGTAGGCTGTATGAATTGTGTATTGCTTTGTAACAATTTGTTGGGTCTCTGGACCGTAATAAAGATTGTTGTTGTTGTTGTTTAGTTTTTTGCAGCAGAAAATGTCTGACTGGCACAAAATTTGAAACTCACAAGAAGTCATCTCAATCCTGTTTTGCACATCTGAGAGATCAGAAGTGACTCCTATGTGAACCACTGCTGGACCAAAGCCAAGGACATTTCATAATTTAGTTTGTAAAGTTTATAAACCTTAGCAGATGCAGAACTTTCAGGGTGTGATTCTTGCGCAACTGTGGCGACGAGTATCAGCTCTTCTCCAGTGGTTCTCAATGTGTCTCAATGTGCAATGTGTTGCAAGCTTAAAGGGCAAGTTAATAACATTTTAAATTTCAGCACTGAAGGAGAAACAGTATAAGAAACTCATTAGGGCATGCAAAATAGGAAGAACTATAAAGGCAGCCAACCAATTCAAACCGATGTCAAAAGAATCTGAGGGCGGGGGAAGAAAGAAAAATGACTTCTAATTAGCATTTCTCCTGACTGCTTGCTTAAACAAGACTCGGTTATCTCTCATTCAATCAGCACTGACATGAGTTGCTTATAGTGACTCTATGTGAATCTGCTACTTTAAAAAAATTGTTTAATGCTTTATATAGCTTCTTAGTGGATAATATTGCCAGCAATGCTACTCAGCCCAGTATTGCATTTTATACCTGTAATTTCAACTTTTTAAAAAAATGAAGATTCTGTATCTCTTGTACCATCTGCTAGAGGTGCAGAGAAATTTGACTTTGTTGGGATTTTTGTAAGAAACTATCTAACTTGTACTCCTCAAACCAACACGCAAGCACAATTATCTATGGGAACCCACATTTCTTCAACTAAATAATGTGCATGAAATAACATATATTAGGGGTTAGTGTGCGTATCAGTAAACATAGCATACAAAAATGCCTTGTATTAAGGAAAATGTACCAAAAATGTGTACATTAGGAGGAATTTCACTAAAATGTTGGTTTATTTTTTTTTAAATTCAGACAGATGTGGAGAACTGAATTTAAGATTGGCAAAAATGAAGAAACTGAAATTGACAGATTTGTCCATCCCTACTGTCTGTCTGTCTGTCTGTCTGTCTGTCTGTCTATTTTATTATATATACCGCCCTTCATCAAAATATATTGGGGCAGTTCACAAATCTACTTTTTTAAAAAAATCTCTGCCGGAAACATTGATGTTACAGCAATATAGACATAGCAAACACTCCTGTCCTGTATAAAGTATCAAGCAACTCCAAAGGTAAATATAGTCTAGGTTTTTGAGGAGTCCTGATATTATGGGACTGTCAAGGAAATGAAAGATGTTCTGAGAGGTGATGCAACTAATCACATGTGAGGTTTATCTCTACTTACTAATTATAAGCCTGGAAAACTACTTTAGCAATTACTGTTCTGATTTGATTTGGCTGATGTGGGTGGAATTTTCCTATCCAAGTTTTGTTTACTTTGACCTAGAATAAGGGGTGCCTAGAAAATTTAAGGAGCACTGCTGTTTACACCACTGCCATTAGTCCAGTCAATGAGGCAGCATGTTCAGGAGTAAGAATAGCATTCAAGAAAAGGAGAGGGAAGGAAGAAGTGTCACAATTTCTCACAAGCCCTCACTTGTTAACTTATAAATGGAATTCTCAGGCGCAGAATAGAATCAGCAGCAGACCGAGATGTTGGTGGTATCCCGGGGCAGAAGGCAGAAATGGATCTACTCACATAGCCTAATTTAATGACAGAAGAGGCATTTTCTCTGTCTGCTTGTGTTCGTTAGATCTTGCAGCATATCAGTCATGATGAAATGAAAATTCTCAAAATAAAAATCCCCATGGCTTAATTTGAGCAGGGCTTGTTCCCTGAAAGCTATAAGTCTGCCTATCATTCTTCTTCAACAGCAGCTGAAGAGGCAAAATATTTGTTTCGGATGTTCTCTCTCTCTCTCTCTCTCAGTCTATGAAGGCTGAATGAGAAGCACATTTCCCATCTGCCTGGGCTCGTACAACTGTTTCTCTTGGATGTAGATTGCAGCAGAGCCATCCATGTTTGCGACCTCCAACAGGGATTACCGTTCCAATATTCTGAACATCGAGCTACTGTTGAAGGTCACTTGGATGCTGCAGCTAGCACAGGATTTGATCACCCCATTTGCTCTAGGTTGCTACTTGGATAAAATATTTTGCTCCAATACACAGTTACCAAGGAACTAACTGTGAACTGGAGACAAACACAAGGCCCTGTCCCAAGTCCTGGGAGGGTGGTGGGCTGGATGAGAGTCAACAAACTGACCCTGAATCCTGGCAAGACAAATGTGCTATGGGTTGGTGGTTCTGAAGTCCAGGTAATTGGTCAATTGCCTCCTGAAGGAGCAAGTTTGAATTTTTGGTCCTCCTGGATACCTTAGTCACTAAAGGACACACACTTACAACCCTGGTGACAGCAAGCTGGCAAGGATTAGCAAGTGGTGGTAACTCTGCCTTGGAATTTCTCTTTCTCCCCCAAAATAGGATGTACTGTAACTTGTTTAAAAGAAGCTGTGAGTTACGAATAGTGCGACAAAATAAGCAGACAGCTGAACATTCATAGTAAGAAGGAAAGGCAAACTAGCTACCCCTTCTTATAAGCATATACAAGTTATGGAAAAGCTGGGTAAGCTAATATTTATCTATATCATAAGCGATCACACAAGTATCTTTTAAAAAAGCTCTTCCACTGATGCAAGTGTTTGGAAGTCAACCACTGGAATTTCCAGCACAAATGTGTCCAAACACATCTTCCTACAGCACCTCCTCTTTTCACCTATTGCAAAAGAAGCAGGCAAACTGGAAACACATCTCACTCTTGATTCCTGCTTTATGCAAAAGCACAAAAAAGGAAGATTTTTGACAAGGTATGCTTTCAGGTACCACTGTCTATTCTCATAGCTGCTCTCCATCTCTCCAGTGCCTGATTGCCTCCTTCTGTGTCTGGACACAATGCATGGGCAACACAGGGATAATAGCTTCATCGTGAGTTATCCAAGCAATAGCAAATCAATGGGCCAGATTCACTGTTCTAGTGGGCCCAGGGCCAGCCCAAGAGATTTTGCTGCCTGAAGCAGAAATACAGGAAAACCCCCAGTCAAAGTCATAATACCCAAACCTAGCCAAATTATTCTTGGCACCTAAAAAAGAAAATCCTGCAAGAGTCTCTGTGTGGGAGTAAACACGCCACAGTAATAAATTAAATAGTAATTTGCAGCCCTTTCATGACACCCAAAATCACTTGTCTGATGCATTCACCTCACTTTGGATCCTTATTCCAATTAATAAAAGGTTTTGATTAGGTCTGGAAATGGACGGGGAGTAGGAATGGAAGAATCTGTCAGTATCATTTTTTCCAATCTCAAGTGCAGTTTGCCACGTTTCAGCATTAGTTGGTGAATTAGTTTATTTTTAAGTCCTTAAGGAGAGGAAATTAGCATTTTTGTGTGCATTTCTCCTAATATAAACATTTTGTATTTTACCCAATGCACAAGTGGTAGCAAGGAATTATCCTAATACAATGCATTTTAATGTCATTTTCACAATTAAGTGCAATTTTATTTCACCTAACATAAGTAAAAAAGTAAAGGTAAAGGACCCCTGGAAGGTTAAGTCCAGTCAAAGGTGACTATGGGATTGCAGCTCTAATCTCACTTTCAGGCCAAGGGAGCCGGCATTTGTCCACAGACAGTTTTCCGGGTCATGTGGCCAGCATGACTAAACTGCTTCTGGCACAACGCAACACCATGACGGAGACCAGAGCGCACGAAAATGCCATTTACCTTCCCACTGCAGACGTACCTATTTATCTACTTGCACTGGTATGCTTTCGAACTGCTAGGTTGGCAGGAGCTGGGACAGAGCAATGGAAGCTCACCCCTAATATACACATTTTGAGGTTGGAAAACTACACCACAAAATTGAGAGAAGTGCAAATTCTGAAGGATATGTGCATCTCAGTTCACCTAGTATCTCAGAAATTGTGAATTGTGTAAGTTTGCTATAAAATGTGGGCTGAACCAAATTCCTCCCCCATCCCTAACTGGGAGTCAGTACAGAGAATAAAACACTGGTGTCATCCATTCAAATCATGCAGTCCCCCATTAATAATCTTGCTGTCCTCTACTGGACCAGCTGAAGTTTCTGGGCAATTTTTAAAAGCAGCCCAACATGCAGTCCATTGCAATGATCCAAATGAGTTCATTGTGCTCCTATGAGACACACCCCTGTAATGTCAGTTCTGTGGGCATTTCTTTTCATGTCATATGTCTCCCATCTGATCCCGGGGCTGTGGGAAGATGCATCCAATTTGCACAGCATCAAAATAGAATAATCGGTACAACCAAAGCCCTGCAAGCAATCCGCAGTGACAGCTGCCTTTCTGCCAAGATCCTATCATCTTCCCCAAAAGTTTTCATTCAGATACAGATCTTGATTATGCCCAAGCTTAAAAATAATGGGACGTGTTTCAACAAACACACATAGTTTGAGCCTACTTTGACAGCTTATTTGCATAGACATCTCTGAGCCTCCTAATTCTCAGTTGCCAGAAGTTCCATTACATTTAAAACACAGCTAGATAAGTGCAATAAACAAGATCACGTCCCCTGTGGATTCACTGGGAGCCTTCGGCGGGCCAGGCAGACAGATTCAACCATCTGCTCAATGGTATGTATGCATTTCCTTACAGCCCGTAATTTCCAAATTTAACTGATATGTATATCAACTGGAGGCTGGTTAAATAGTCACAGTCTTTCTCCAGGTTATGCAAGGAGCTGCAGTAGCTCTGTGAAGGGAGCCAGAAATCTCTGTCAGAGAATCAGCATTCTCACCAAACTTTCGTTCCCATGATTCTTTGGGGAAAGCCCCATGACCTAGGTGCTCTTGATCTGTAGTACTTCCAATCCACCACTGGAGAAGGGCAGTAACTAAGTGGTAGTATACCTGCTTTGCATGCAGAAGGTTCCAGGTTCAATCCCTGGCATTTCCAGGTAGGTGTGGGAGAGACCCATGTCTGAAACTCTGGAGAGATACCATCATTCCATGTAGACAATACTGAACTTGATGGACCTGGCATGGTATCTCCTTGACATGGCCATGGTATGCTCTTGTGTCCTTAAACTTTCTGCACAGTTCACCCTACTGAATAAGTACCTCTGACTGTTCCCACATTACAAGCTATTTCCTACAGCTTTCCTACATGGCTGTAAAAGCGTGGATGTGATCTCAGAAGCAACCTTTGTCAAAGAAGACAACTGTAGGCAGCAAGATGGAGCACATGTTGATCAAACTGGAGAATGCCATGTTAGTCAAAGCCATTATTGGATTCAGCTTCCTACTAAAGATCCAGCTTTATTAATGACAGTTCCTAGATGGGCTCTAAGGCCCACTTTGTCAGTATCACATAACTTAACACATGACTCTATGTGTTAGTAGACACCCAGAGAATGGGATTTCACAGTCCTGAGGTAACCGAAATGGTCTTTTTCAGGGATCTTAACCTTGAGCTAGCAATTATTGCCCTTCAAGGAACAAGACGTTTGGTGCAGCTGTTTACTATTTACACAAAAGAGCTGACATATGAGCCTCACACCCCAGTCCCATTCATCATTCATTTTGTTTGACCATGTGAACAACTTTGTTTGAAGAAATAGTCTTTAGATGTAAAAAAAAAAAAAAATGCAGAGCAAGCTGTCTTCAGCTGTTGCCAGTGAACTCTCTTAAAGTCGTGCTTATTTTCAGATATCATATTAATTATTCTGTTTATTTCCTTGCAGTTTTATTGTTGAGAGCACAGCCATGAAAAATGAATGCTGGACTAATGATTAACCACGAAGCAGAAGTCTGAAAGCAAAGGGGTTGGGTTTACGTTAAAAAGCTCTCCTTTTTATGAGGATAATATATTATTTGAGAATGAGTTATTTATTAGAGCCATGTGGAATAGGAAAAAAAGGGATGGTTATTAAAGTGTAGCCATATGAGGAATCTATGCATGCATTTGTGAACTTGACAACTCAAGAGGGAAACATTTTTATCACTTTCATCAAATACATATACAACTTCCATTTACTTTGATTTTACATCTATCTGTGCACTACCATGAACCAAACCTCTTCTTAGCTGTAGCAATCTGTAGAAATTTCCAATAGTTTAAGTTGCATACACTCAGGAAAAACTAGAGATCACCCTCAGTAGGAAAAGAAAAATGGCTTTTGTCTACAGAAGGTAAAATCATTTTTAAAATTATTAAAACTTTCCAGATTGTGGGAGCAAGTCATCAGAGGAACGAATTACAAAAAGAAGTAACTTCCATGGAAATTTCCAACGAATCCATAAAGAGGTATGTGCCAGCAACAATGTTGTTTTAGGAAAGATGTTGGATTTATTTATTTAAAGAATTTTAAGCCCCTTCTCAGAGCTACTATTCATTTTACTGCATTTATTAACTATGTTTCTATACTGTCCAATAATCAAATTACTCTGGGTAGCAATCCATAAAAATTATTAAAATGAAATGCAAATACAGCTACAAAATAGCACACACCACAACAGAAAGAAAATCAATAAAAGCAAGCACAGCTGGTTCTTTTAAACCAGAACCTTAAAATCTATTAAAAGAACAGGGTTCCTAAGATGTTGGGGGGAAGGAAAGAAAGGTCTTGACTTTGCCTGGCATCATAAAGAATCCAAAGAAGGCATCAGATGAGCTTAGAAAAAATACCTTACCTTCTACAATCATAGTTATATTCCTAGCTGTCATTAGAATGCCCATACTCCAACCTGAGGATTGTTTAAATGTGTGATAGGGCATTGTTGTTGCTGTGCTCTGGTTAAATTGTCTTTGGTTATAGATCTAATTAAACAGGAACCTTGCTGTTTGGGGGAAAGTTGGGGCAAGTGGAAGAGGTCATTGGGTGCAGGGCCAGTGTGCTCCCTCATGTGTCCCCTCCATACTTTATGAAGGCTTCACACATCCATGGAACACCTGGAAAGGGCTCCTGTGTACAGTAGTACCTCGGGTTACAAACACCTCGGGTTACAAACACTTCGGGTTACAGACTCCGCTAACCCCGAAGTAGTACCTCAGGTTAAGAACTTTACCTCAGGATGAGAACAGAAATCGTGCAGTGGTAGCGCAGCAGCAGCGGGAGGCCCCATTAGCTAAAGTGGTCTTCAGGTTAAGAACGGTTTCAGGTTAAGAACGGACCTCCAGAACGAATTAAGTTCGTAACCAGAGGTACCACTATATTCCATATTTGAAACTGCACTTTTCCCACATAGGGCTTGCCCACATTTCCACTTGTGCCTAGAAAGCATGGGTCCAAGTGGTTTTCCGCAAGTCCAAATGGTTTCCCCCATACCCTGCACTTTTCCAAGGGAAAACCTGCTCTATAATGATAGATCGGAACAAATGGAAATGGGAGGGGGGACCCCGAAGCAGTTTCCCCCGGGGAAAAGCAGCGGGATGAGGAAGTGTGTATAAGCCCATATAGTTGGATCATGTGGAACATAAGCTGCTGCCTTATACTGAGTCAGGCCATTGGTCCATCTAGCTCAAAACTATCTATACTGACAGGCAGTGCTTTTCCATGTTTAAGACAGGGAGTTTCTGTGTACTGTTGTTGTTATTATGCAGAACATTTCGCTTTTTATTGAGCTGATTGGTCACATCATGGACATCATCCTCTTTTAGATCTAGCCTAAATTTTCAGTGCATCCTATGTTTGCTCAGAAGTAAGTCCTACTAGTAAGTGTGTTTAGAATTGCAGGCTCTTGTTGCATTTTGATGCCTGCCATATAACACCTGGACATAATAACCATACATACTGCTGATCCAGATCTCTCTCTTAAATTAATAGGTACAGTCTGTAAATCTGTTCAGAAGACAGAGTGGGATTAAATGGCTTTTAAATGTAATTACCCATCTTCACTAATTTGTGGATCAACCCGTTCTGTGTCTTTCTGGAAAGAATAGTGGAGACGTATTTTGAAATCAAAGCACTTATGCTTGTGGCTATCAGGTTGAAGTGATCCAGGATTGCACAATTATTAGGCAACCTAGTTCTGAGAGTGAAGTTATATGGAAAGTAATTTTATACCTCTCTTTATACACAGATTGTCCAGAGGAAAGGGCTTGGAAAACAGACCAATCATGGATTTACAGGGGATTTGGAAAGTCAAACACAAGAACCTATGCTTTACCTTTTGGTTTAAAAATAATACTATCCTTAACCTTTGTAGCACCAGTGTTATTTCAAGCAACTCTGGTTTATAGAAACTATCCTGTGGGAAATGATTTATATATTGGTTTTTCTTTAGGCAAAACATACAGATATAATAAACAAATCTGACGTTTATGGCCCAATTAATTTTTTGCCAAACCTAGAAGCCATATTTTGTATCCTCCGTGTGGTTTGTGCAAAATTTCAACATGGAAACTTTATTGGGGAAAGATGGAAGCATTTAATTCCTGAAACATGCAATAAATGTCATTCAGAAATATAGCATGAGATCGCGTTTTCTCAGTGACAAAATCTCATGTTTTGAGACCACTAAAAGTGATATTCCTGCAAAAGATGCAGAACCCTGAGCACTGTGCAGATGGTGCAGAACAAATGGCAAGCAGATGTCCTTCTTTGCAAACAAAAATGTGATATGGAAAGATCCAGAGTTTAAGCTATATTCCAGTATATCCCTAAAGAGCAGAACCAGATATATCTGGAAAAGGTGTCAGCAGGAGACACTCCAATGCAAAGACACAAATATTCTACTTAATAAAAGACTGAAGGATGAACATAGCTTACAGGTTCTGAAGGGGAAGGTTAGGGGGGCTTCCAACCTGCTGCTGTTTTCAGGGGGAAATTTAGCCACATACCAGCCAATTCCAGATGCACAATAAAAGCTGATTTGGAGCTCTTGCACAACAAATCCACTACCACTATCCCCAAAAACATTGTTGTTGTTGTTGTTGTTGTTGTTGTTTGCAATAAGGAAAGTGATGGGGAAGATGCACTGGGAAGTGAGATAACATGTGCTTGATGTGATGTCTTTTAGCCTTCCCACAGATGAATCAGAATGAATGCTCAATAAATAGCATTCCTAGGTTATCTAACCTGCCCACAAATTGTGTACAAACTCACCATGATGAATGGACAATAAGCAGGTTGTCTGGAAATTACGTAGACAACATTCTGTCTCATGTTTATTCTTTAGACTACTTCTTCACTTTGTAGGACCTATCTATGAAATCCCAGTTGGTATAACCATATATTTAATATTTTCAACATGTATAAGGAATTGGAGTACACTAATCCAAGGCTATAATGTGCTATTTAGTGTTAAAACACAACCCAGGCAAAATTTATTTTCTATCACCAGTATCTTGAATTATTGCTACTAACATCCTATGCAGATCTCTTCTTCTTACACTCATTCTTCTTCAGCGCTTCTTGGCTTTCATTCAACCTGTAGTTCAAAAAATGCCATCCAGAAAAGTCAATGTGCTCTGCCAGAAGTCTGGTTTTACTTTGATGAAAGTGGATCCCCATTCCCTGAGTCTGATCAAATTTTGACCTTTTAAATTAGTATGTTTAAAAACATATATTAAGAACTTCCCTGCAAACTGCCTAGACTCCATATACAGTACTACTGTAGTTCTTCCAGAATTAATTTAATTAAATCTCACATAGGATGTCCTTTTCATATCTTTGTTTTGTGTTATTTCCACTTGGGGTGATACTAACTTTATCCCCCCCCTTGACTTGGGTCAATTCACTGTGGTCAAAACTGAAAATTCCTACCATGCAATATTTATGAATTATTATGTACAGAAGCTCTTCTTTGGGCACTTAGCAGAGCACACCATTTGGAATATATGCTCATGTATATCGATTTAATAAATTGTTTACGATTTTTTAAAAGAAAAAGAAAGAAAAATCTAGTTGTATTGATTGAATTTATTTTTAGCCAACTTTCAATATAAAGTTTTCCAAGTAACTACAAAAATCAAACAATAAAATTTTATAAAAACAGTGCAAGCAAGGCAAAAGATATCAGATAAGGGGTGTAGAAAAGCATGTTAGCAGACTCAGTCTATGAAAACACAAGAAGGACTTGACAGGCCTCAAGAAGCATAACAGAGAAGGAGGAACAACAAAAATGACCTTCTGCTCATGGGTGCCAATTTGGTGAAGTCTCAGTGTGGTATAGCAGTTAAGAGCGGTAGTCTTGCAATCTGGGGAACCGGGTTCACATCTCCGCTCCTCCACATGCAGCTGCTGGGTGACCTTGGGCTAGTCACACTTCTTTGAAGTCTCTCAGCCCCACTCACCTCACAGAGTGTTTGTTGTGGGGGAGGAAGGGAAAGGAGAATGCTAGCCGCTTTGAGACTCCTTCGGGTAGTGATAAAGCGGGATATCAAATCCAAACTCTTGTTCTTCTTCTTCTTCTTCTTCTTCTTCTTCTTCTTCTTCTTCTTCTTCTTCATTAGTAGATTGTAAGTACCAAGGGGGCTTATTAGAAGAGAGATCATTAAATTGACAGGTAGGGAATCATAGAATTGTAAAGTTGAAAGGGTCATCTAGTCCAACCCCTTGCAATGCAGGAATCTCACCTAAAGCATCCATGGCAACTGGCCATCCAACCTCTGTTTGAAAACCTCCAAGGAAGGAGAGTCCACAACTTCCTGAGGTAGACCGTTCCAACGTCGAACAGTTCTTACTGTCAGAAAGTTCTTCCTGATATTTAGTTGGAATCTCCTTTCTTGTAACTGAAATCTACTGGTTCAGGTCCTACGCTCTGGAGCAGGAGAACATAAGCTTGTTCCATCCTCCATGTGACAGCCTTTAGATATTTCAAGGCAGCCATCATATCTCCTCTCAGTCTCTTCTTTTCTAGGCTAAACATAACCAGCTCCCTCAACTGTTCTTCATAAGGCTTGTTTTCAAGCCCCTTGGTCATCTTGGTCACCCTCCTCTGCACATGTTCCAGCTTGTCAATACCCTTCTTCGATTGTGGCACCCAGAACTGGACACAGGTGTGGTCTGACCAAGGCAGAATAGATTTATATCATGGCATTACACTGCTTCAGCAATTTGTGAGGAAGAAAGGCTATGGCTCAGGGAGAGTCCTGGGTTCAGTTCTTGATGTCTCCAAGTTCAGCTGGAAAAGTCTCCTCTCAGCAGCCCTGGTAAGCCGAAGTCACTCAGTAAAAGCAATGCATCAATTAGATGGGTCAATGGCTTCCTTGGCCCAAACCAGAATCCCATGTTCCTACAGAACACCGTGTTTTGCAGAAAGACTGCAAAGAAGACCAAACCCTTCTCCAGTAGGTCTGCTGTGACACATCCTCAGCTATTGAGCATTTTCAAGAATTTCCCTATTTATTTTTTCACCGTATGCCATTCAGTAATTGTAAGAGTGTACAGTTTAGGTTGTGTTTTTCGTTTCTGCTGACAAGATCTCTTGTTGTCAGAACAAGAGCTGGCAGCCTCAGGCCTGAGTAGTTTAGATACAGAGAGCTTTATCTCTGTAGTTATCGGTGAGAAGTTGTTCCGTGTTCAGTTTAGTAGAAGTTGAAAGATGGCATACCAGAGTTGCAATTTACGGGTACTGAAAGTTAGAGTATACAACTTCTTTGCCAAATTGCGAGAGCATTAGGTACTTTTTAAGGGCAGGTATTGGCCACTAATTGACCCAGCAGATGGCTGCCGTCCAAGACTGATCTCATTTAGTGGGTTTACACGCATTTTATTGTTGCCTTTCGTTGCTGCTCTGCTTTATTGCCTTGCATTTAAGGAATGTACCATCATCGTCCTTTAAGAGAGAACTTGAAGTTGCTACAGCATGTAAAGCAACAGCAAAAGACAAAACAGCAACAAAATGAAATAATACAAGAATGTAAATTGCTGTGAGATTGGGAAAACAGCCCCCCAAAACCTTGCCCAATCTTAGCAGAAGTAGGAACTCCCCATCAGCACCAAATCCAACACTCACACAAACCTCCTCAAAGAGTCGTATATTTACCAGATGCTGGAAGGCATATAGTGAAAGGACCCTAGGGGACCAGTCCAGAACACTGGCACCATGACTGAGAAGACCTTGCTTCCCTTACCCACCTCCAGGAGAACATGGAGCAGCACCTCAGATGCTGCATCTTGGATGCTGAGCAGCACCTTGGACACTGAACGAACTGCCCAGGAGGGGACATATGGGCAAGATACTCCTTAATGTACAGCTAGGCAGATAGAAAGGTGCTGATCAGTGGCTAGAAATCATGGTCTCCTGGAATGCTACCTGCAGCTCACCTTGTGTACAGTCTATCCTAGAACCAGTGCTGCAAAATACAACATATGCACAAGTGTTAAATAGAAGTCTATTGGCATATTAGTACCTGGTGATGTGTGGGTGGTGAGCTTTACTTCAGAATTTGCAGGTATCCCCTCTGTATTGGCATATTTGTGACACAGAGCCAACATGAAGACAAGCCCAACCAATTATAAATGTACGACGGGGGGCAATATAATTCAATAACAGAGTGTATGCTTCGTGTGCAAAAGATGACGTGTTCAGACTAGGCATCTCCAGATCTCAAGTACTAGGACTGGGAAATGCAGCTCTCTCTGAAACCGTTGTCAGTCAGAGGAGACAATACTGGGCTCGATATGCTAATAGTCTGACTCGGTGCAGGGTGACTTCATTTGAAAACACGGTTTGCATCTTACAACTTTTGTCCCCTGGTCTCCAGTGTCATCTTGTACAAAAGAGCAAAACAGATAATTTTTCTAGGCTAGGTGCACTATTCGGATGTCATTGGACTCCATCTCCCAACGACCCTAGCCAGCAGAGTCAATGGTTGAGATGATGGGAATTGTAGTTTAATGATATCTGGAGTGCATGTTGATTATATTCCTGTCCTAGGCAGTCAATGAGTAAATGTGGAAAATGCCAAGTTTCCATCGTCCAGATAAAGCAGAAGGACAGAGGCCAAAAACAGTGGCATTCTAGTCATGTCGTGTGATCTGTTGAACTGATATTTTGGATTCACCTTGAGGCTTCTGTATGTTATGTCATTTTGAAATAAAGTGTCTAAGGGCCTGCCTGATGTTTGCTCCACCTTAAGACAGAGACTTGCAAATTTTCTGGCTTTGAGTCATATACTCAGACTCACAGCAGGACTGTCAGGGCTGAGAAAATTGCAGTCCGTTCAGCATCCAGAGGGAGTGCCTTATGTCAGTGGTCATGCCAGCCAGTTTTACAGTAATCTCTACAGCTTTAGCCAAACCTCCTTGTCAGGTTGAAATG